CCGGTCGAGGCTGCAGTGGCCAGGAGTGTGCCACTGCACTCCAGTCTGGGCGACAGAGTGAGACGCCAACTCAAAAAAAAAAAAAAAAAATCGAGGTGAAAGTCACATAACATAAAATTAACCATTTCAAAATGAACAATTTGGTGTTATTTAGTATGTTTGCAATGCTATTCATCTTTATGTAGTTTCAAGACGTTTTTGTCACCCCAAAAGAAAAGCCCAGACCCATCAAGCAGCCAGGCCCTGGTGTCTTCTCTGCTGAACTCGTTTCTTCCCTTTGCCTCCGGCTTCAGGCCCACCGATCCCGGGAAGAACGCGGGGGAGGCGCTGCCTCCGGAGGACCTGCCTCTGACAAAGCCTGAGATGTTCGAGAACCCCCTGTATGGATCCGTGAGCTCCTTCCCGAAGGTGGCTCCCAGGAAGGAGCAGGAATCCCCCAAGCTGCTGCGGAAGGAGCCCCCGCCCTGCCCGGAGCCGGGCGGCCCATCGCCTAGCATCGTGCTCACCAGGGCGCAGGAGGCCGAGCGCAGCGAGGGGACAACCAAGCCGGCGCCCCGGCTGCGCGCCTTCACCTGCTCGATCTCCGCAGAGGGCAGGGCGGCCGGCGCGGACAAGGGCCAAGGCAAGTCCAAGGCCGCGGCCGGCTGCCAGGCCCCGGTGCCGGTCAAGAGGCCCATCAAGCCGTCCAGGTCGGAGATGAGCCAGCAGATGCTGCCCGCCCCGACGCCGCGGCCGCCCCTGCCGGTCAAGAGCCAAGCGGTCCTGCACCTGCAGCACTCCAAGGGCCGCGACTACCGCGAGCACACCGAGCTCCCACACCACGGCAAACACCGGCCGGAGGAGGGGCCGCTCAGCAGGACCGCCATGCAGGTGCGCCACCGCATGGGCTCGTTTGCCCTGGTGCGTGTGCGCGTGCATGTATGTGTGCATGCATTCGTGTGTGTGCACGTGTGCAGTGTGTGTGCATATGTGTGTGACTGCCCTGGGAGCCACTCCATGAGGAAAGGCTGGAGTAAGAATTTGAACACAGCCTGCCTGTTCCCCAGATCCCCAACCCTGTGCAACCCTTTATCCAAAGGGATAAAGGAGGGGCTGTGGACAAACTCCTGACCCTGCATCGGGCCCAGAGGAATAAGACTCCATAAAGATAAGGAGCTTAGATCATTTCTATCTTATTATTGTCATGGTTAGTATCAGTATTTAAAATTTTTCCCAGTATTTTAGAGACTGTAGACACAATTTCCCCTCCATATAAGAAAAATTTCTTTTTGAATAAAACTAGTAGCGATGAAGAGCAGACTCTAGAGCCAACCTGTTGAACTTGAGTCCCAGTTCTATCACTTCCTGGCTTTGTACCTTGAGATTCAGTTTGCTTATCTGTAAAAAGGAGCTATTCATGGTACCTGCCTCATAGATTTATAGGGAGAATTTACATTCTATCACAGAGTTTTGTGTATTATTACTATATGTTATCATTTATATATAAAATATTTATAGTATATATTACATATAATTTAATATCTTGTGTACTATATATATATATTTCACCTGTATATATGTTAGACTATATATAAAGTACTTAATTAGCCAGATGCAGAGGTTCAGGCCTGAAGTCCCAGCTATTGTGAGGCCGAGGACAGAGCTCCGGAGGTCAAGGCTACAGTGAACCCTGATTGTGCCTGGGTGACAGAGTGAGATCCTGTCTCTAAAAGAAAATGCTTAAATAAAGTTCTTAGAACAGTAGTGCTGTCTCTTTTCAGCTACATGTTTTGAAGACTAACCTAATAGTGACACAGGCCACTTAGTTAAATGTGGTCTGATGAAAATAAGCCCTGACAGCCTTCTGTTCTTATCCCACAGTGAAGCCCTTTGGTGAGCTGCCGATGAATTGGGAGCCCAGAGGACCCACACAAAACCACTCGGACCCTCTCCTGGGACCTCCTGCAGGCTCCTCCTACCTAGCTTCTTCCACAAGCCTTTGTGTTTTTCAGGAAAGGGCTTAGTTTCTGTGTGGTCAAGGAGTGCACTGCCAGCAAGACTTGGCACCAAGTGCTGAGTTTGGAAGGAAAACGTGCACCAGACGGGCAACAAGCAACTTGGGTCCCCACCTCGATCTTGGTACTTGGGCCCCCAGTGCCTTGCTCAAGGTGCCATTCTGAAGAAAGGAACTGAAGTGCCGATTCGAGGGTGGAGATATAAATAATAATAATAATGTTAATAATAATAATAGCCACATGGATCAAGTACTCACCATGTGCCAAGTGCCGTGCTAAGTGCTTTATGAACATTATGTCAGGACAATCTCGAGAGCTAAGTCTCTGGCCAACTAAAACCATGTACCCAAACCTACCAGTTCCAAACGGAGGGGTTTGGACAAAGCATTAAGAAGGTCAGTGCCCTCCTGGAGCAAGATGAGGGCTTGGCCTTAGGGAGCTGAAGAGTCTGGGTGGCTAATGTAGGGTCCAAGGAGTCTGTCCTATCTAGCTTCAGTGATGCAAGCTGTTTTAGCTACAGCTCCAGGGGTTCTGGCATAGCTAGGCAGGGAGCAGGGATCTACCTGGCTTCTCACTTCTTTAGCTGGAAGAGTGGGAAAATCAACTCCTACTCTCCAGTGGTGAGATCTGGCCTCAGCCCAATCTAGGGATGCCAAGGCCTATGCTGGGTTCCCTGTGTCCTCCTCAAAGTGGGCAACCCCCACCAGCTGTGGGTTGAACCAAGCTCACCCACACTGATCCCATCATGCTGATAGAAGTCTTTGCTGTTGTTCCTACAAGCCAAGCTCTCCAGCCTGGCTGCCAGGGAGGGAGGGTAGGCCTCTTCGTTTCAGGCTCTCGAAATAGTGCATCCTTTTCTTCCAAGCTCCGTGGCTTTCAGCTCTGCTTCCTTGGATACTAGGAGAATAGACTGGTGGTATATTTCCTTGTGTTGCTTTTTGATATAACAATTAATGTAGGAAACTGAATCCAGAGGTGTGTGTGAATGCTGGAGAATGGGTAATTGCCCCACGTTCTCATGGATGTCAGTCTGTGTGACCAATAAATTGTGACTCACTCGGCTCCACTCTGTGTGGCATCTTTTCCCTGACATTCAGAACCACAGACACATTTCTAAGACCAACATAGCAGCAGTGGGGAGGGGGAGGCAGTTGAGGGTTATGATTGTAACGGAAGGCGTTGTCCTGACCAGATGGGACACCATGGAGCCAGTCTGAAGCTGGACCTGGACCAGGAACTGGGGTGGTCGGCACTCCGTTCGCACATCCTCCTGGGACTCCAAGCACCCTGAAGCCACTCAACTTCCACGAGAGTCCCCCTGCTGTCTTGCAGCCCACAAGTTCCTCTCAGTCCTTATAAGTGTTCACTGCAGCCGGGCTCGGTGGCTCAGCCTGTAATCCCGCACCTTTGGGAGGCTGAGGTGAGTGGATTGCCTGAGCCTGCGGGTTCGAGACCCTGGGCAGCGAGACCTCATCTCTACAATAAATCAAAAAATCAGCTGTGCGTGGTAGCGCATACCTGTAATTCCGGCTACTCGGAAGGCTGAGGCGGAAGGATCGCCAGAGCCCAACAGGCGAGGCTGCGGTGGCCGGGAGCGGCCACTGCACTCCAGTCTGGGCGACCGAGTGAGACTCCAACTCAAAAAAAAAAAAAAAAAAGTGTTCACTGCTCAAGCTGCAGAGATAATAAACACATATGGACTCCCCAGGTCATGGGATCCCAAGTCTGAGTGCAGCCCCTGGCCCAAGACAGGCACAGCATGAGTGCTGCTTGGCTTCACTTGCAGGGTGCTGCAACCCCACCTTGAGTGCTTTTGTTCCTATCAAAGACACCAGGCCTAGGCTCCAGGCAAAGCTTAAAAGAGCGATGTCCTTGGCAGCCTCAGAGCAAACCGTTCACTGCCCTACCATAGTGGCACATGGAGCCCGGCAGGGCAGGGCTAGCTGGGACCACAGCTCCCTAACCCTACCCAGGTGGGATCTCTCACCCTGCAGGCTTGCTTCCTGATCCTACATGAAAACTGACCTGAGTCCCAGGCCCTAGCCTCTGACTCTAGGAGAAGAGCCGGGGGAGAGAAAAAACTGGAGACACCAAGACTTTTTTTTTCATGGCCACTGCAGCCTCGACCTGCTGGGCTCAGGCGATCCTTCCACCTCAGCCTTCCAAGTAGCTGGATCTACGGACACATGCCACCACGCCCAGCTAGTTTTTTTTGTGTGTGTGATTTATTGTAGAGACAAGGTCTCATGAAGTTGCCCAGGCTGGTCTTGAACCCCCAGGCTCAGGCAATCTCGCCTCAGCCTCCCAAAGTGCTGGGATTACAGGCTGAGCCACTGTGCTTGGCCGACACCAGGACATTCTTTTTTTTTTTTTGAGTTGGAGTCTCACTCTGTCGCCCAGACTGGAGTGCAGTGGCTGCTCCCAGCTACCGCAGCCTCGACCTGCTGGGCTCCAGCGATCCTTCCGCCTCAGCCTTCCAAGTAGTTGGAATTACAGGCATGTGCTACCACGCCCGGCTGATTTTTTGTAAAGATGAGGTCTCGCTGCCAAGGCAGGTCTCGAACCCATGGGCTCAGGCAATCCACTTACCTCAGCCTCCCAAAGGCGTGGGATTACAGACTGAGCCACCGAGCCCGGCTCACCAGGACATTCTTAAGCTCTCCCCACCATCATCAAAGCTGAGGGCCAGAGCACTGAAGCCTGTGGCCCCAGGGGAAACCACTGGCTGCCAGGGTGGGCTGGCTTGCTGCCCATAGGGAAAGCAACAAGCTCAAGCCCCCATCCACCCACTTGGCATGGACATCCAGCCCCCCCCCCATTTCTGCAGGTTCCCTGGAGAAGCAGGTAGAGGAGCAGCAGTGTGGGGCATGCCTCATGCTCCAGTCATCCGCCCTGAGTTTCAGTCCCCTGAGTAAATGCAGTTGCCTCCCCACTCTGTCCAACACAAGGCTGTTGTGAGGATCTGGCATTGACTGCACGTGAGTGGACATCAGGGGCCCACCTGGTGCTTAGAACTGGAACCTTGTGGAGTGTAAGAATTTTCGTCCTTGTCTTTTCAATCTCTCAGCCCTGCCCCCACCCCCAGAGGTACCTGACCACCTTTGTCCTTGGGTTCTTGGTTGCCACCATCTCCTGGGGCCTACTCTAGCCCGATCTCTCTCTTCCCTCCTTTCTCCCAGATACCCAGTCCCCTGCCTCTGGCAAGGTGAGGGGGAACCCAGACATTCTCACCTCTTGATCACCTAAGTAGTTCACCTCCATTCTCTTCACCAAGTTCTATAATCAAAAAGGAAGATCAATGAATAAGATTCTCTCACCAAGGTGCTCCATCCCTAAGATGTATCATCTATCACCCCCCTGAGATGGCAAATGCTGCTACAAGTCACTTTTTCTTCGAAGAAGCAAATTTTCCTTCCTCTGCATGATTATATGAAAGCTGGTTGGGAGCAGCAGGTTTTGAGCTGACAGTAAGGTGTTATCATCATAACGGATCATTTCTGGCAGCATCTGACAGATGCTGATCATCTCTTGTCTTCATCTCTGTGACCTGGAGGGCAACAGCTGCAGCTCCCCGCGGGACAGGGTCAGCCGCCTTCTTCCTCCCGGGATTCCGTTCTTTTTCTTTGCCATTTTTCCCACCCCATAGGAGGGAAATTAGTGAGTCATTCAGAAAAGCTCTCTCCCACAGCTACCTTCCCTAACCCCAGCCTACCAGGTTCTCATCTTCCCATGTCCTTAAAATAGCTTCTTTCTCTTGGCAAACTAATTTCCATGGAGACCCAGCTAGGGAAGGCCCAGAAGCTTTCTGCAAGGCAGCAAGCTCAGCTCCCAGACTTCACTCCAACAGAGCCCCTTTATAATGCTAATCTCTGGTCTCATCCCCCACAAACACCCCCCTACCCCACCCCCCAAGGTCCCATTTTGGGAAATCTGCACTGTGCAGGAAACAGCACTGCACTGTGCAGGGATCACGCCCAGCTAGGGACAATCTACTTTCCTGCTATTTTCTGATTGGGTGGCTGGTCTATGCTTGACTATTTCTCGCTCAGGTCACAGCAGAGTCAACCACTGGGCTTAGCCGTAAGTAATCTTATACCAGTGTGTACAGCTCATGTTCTTCCTCCATTCGCTTATCCATACACATATTGATGGCATGTGCAGGGCCTTGGAGGTCAGCACTTTTATTGAGGGAAGCTATGAGTTGGGGGTGTATCCTGGGCTGTGGGGTCAGTTAGAATGGGGTTCAATTATCTTGGCTTTTATTTCTTAAAACTATGATCTTACATAGTCCACTTAGTGTTTCTGAGCCTCAGTCTCCTCATCTGTACAATGGGGCAAGGATACTTTTTGCCTGGTATGGTTGTGAGGATTCAATGAACTCATTTCTGCAAAGCCCCTGGTTCAGTGCCTGGCAAGCTGTAGGGGTTCACTGAGCATTATCCCCTTCCCTCTCTCTGGGAGTCAAGGCAGAGTGGGCGGGCACCACACTCATCATCCAAAATGGAGCAAAGAGGAAAGCACACTTTAGGTAGTGATGAGGGACATATCTGAGTGGGGCCTTTAGGCACTGTAGGAATGCCCAAGAGGAGGTAAAGGCAAGAGCATGAATCAAATAAACAAAGTGGGAAATCCATGGAGAAGTCCAGGTTGTGAAAAGCATTAAAGACCAGGGGGCTAAGTTCAGACCAGGGAAGCTGGTTTAGGCCAGTGAAACCAGGTAAGACGAAGGGAACTATTTAAAGCCAGTTGGGCTAGCTGAGGCCAAGGAGGTGCTAATTCAGGCCAGGAGGACTAGTTGAGGCCAGAGGGTACTAGATGAGGCCAGGTAGACTAGCTGAAGCCAGGTGGGCTTGTTGAAACTAAAGAGGGGCTAGCTGAGGCTAGTTGAGGCCAGGAGGACTAGTTGAGGCCAGAGGCACTGGATGGATTGCCCTAGCTATACAGAGCCCCCAGTTGCTCAGATTACCCGAGCCAATGGGAGCAGGCCCCAGAAACATGTAGGAAGTCCTTGGGCAGACGCCTGGCAACACTTCAAGGGGCAGTGCTGGACAGCGTTCCTGGCTGTTGGGGACATGTGGGCAGTTGCAGTCAACACAAATCAGCTCTGTGACCCACAGCCTGCCATGTGTAAGACTCAGCTCCTTCACGTGTGTTTCTCCCTCCATCGCTTTTTCTTCCTCCTCTCCCAACCAAGTCAATGACTCACAGCCCTGTCTCATCCTGCAGGCAAAGGGGAATCAATTCAAGGGGACTCTGGAGCAGACGGTGATGTGCTTGCTCAGGTGTTCGGAAAGCTCACTAATAGGGTGAGGCACATGAGACACAGAGGTGTAAAAGTTAACAGACACTCGCTCTCAGGTGTCCACCCTAAACTTGCACAACCTCAGATGTAAACATTCCCCCATCCCCTGCCTGTCTGGCCTCACCTACCTTGCCCAGGAGAACAAGGTACCAGGAAGAGCTAAATCCCCACCAATGAAAGGCAATACTGCTTGGGCCTGCAGCCCAGGCAGGACCCTGGAAGGACAAGGCAGGAGTTGGGGGGCAGATTGGAGAGGCTGTCTGCTGCATCATGCAGAGTTGTGTTTCAGTGCATGGAATGGGCTATAAATTGAACTTCCATGCCTTATTTAGAGTACAGCCCCAGAAATGGTTTGTGTTGTGTTGGGAGCCAGCCACGGAGGCCCACTGAGCGTTAGGGATCAGGAAGGGCCGTTGACCCCGAGACCACTAGGATGCGTTTGGGAGCTATTGACCCCATTTCCTCCCCCTTTCTACTCAGCACTAACCAGATTAAGCTCCTGTGAGCTCAAAACAGAAAAACTCTGAGACCAGGACAAACACAAGCTAACTTTAGAAGCTCATTGCTCCCATTCTTCCACAAACTGCAGTTTTGGCTTTCACACAACTTATAATTCAAACTGAGGTCACATCTAAGAGCCTTAGTATTGGTCACAGGCTTCTGGGTCATGATCTTAGATCCGACGAGCTGCAGGGCCTTGACCAGGTCACTCCTGCGGGCCACACTGTGCATGACACCCCTTGATAGCATCACAGCATC